ATCCATCCATCCATCCATCCATCCATCCATCCATCCATCCATCCATCATCTTCCTCTTGTTCCAAAGTCGGGTCTCGGGGGCAGCATCTTGAACAACGAGGTCCAGACATCTATTTCCACATCCACCTCTTCCAGATCTTCTGGGATGACCCCAAGGTGTTTCCAGGCCAACTGAGAGATGTACTCTGCAACGTGTCCTTGGTCTTCCCAGGGTCTTCTCCCAGTTGGACATGCCTGAAGCACCTCCCAAGGGAGACACCTAGGGAGCATCCTACCAGATGCCCGAACCACCTCAACTGACTCCTCTTGATGTGGAGGAGCTCTGAGTCTCTCCCAGATAACTGAACTTCTCACCCCATCTCTTAAGGAAGAGTCCAGCTGCCCCGTGGAGGAAACTAATTTCAACATCCTGTATCTGCGATCTCATTCTTTTGACCACTGTCTGGTGATTTTTGGTCAATGTTTATGGATGTTTTTCAACTACTGTGGATGAGAATGTTACCAGAGAGTTCTTTTCTCTCTCAGAGAGCTGAATGAGGAGCTGATTTGATCCTGCATGTACAACTGTGTGACTGAGGTCATCAGTGTCTGCCTGAGCCGAGAGTTTATAAGCGTATGAAAAAACAACAATTCTTGCACGTTGTCCGTGGCAGATTCCCATGACTGGGCTCCATGCATGTAGAGCTGCTATACATCTGTGTAAGTTGTTGTGAAAGTCTGCCCTTGCAAGTAAAACCGGTTAACAATCTTCTCGTGTCCTCGAGTGTGGTTTCTTTGAGTAAGTAAGATGAATAGAGGATATTTTTATCCAGCAGTCACTACCCAGAGTTCGTGATGGTAGGAACGTAGACTGAACGGTAAACGGAGAGCTTTGCCTTACAGCTCCGCTCCCTCTTCACCACAATGGACCGGCCCAAAGTCCGCAATACTGCAGACGCTGCACCGATCTGTCTTCTATCTCACACTCCATTCTTCCCTCACTTGGGAACTAAACCCTGAGATACTTGAACTCCTGCACTTGAGGCAGAACCTCACCCTCGACCCAAAAAGAACAATCCACCCTTTTACGACTGAGGACCACGATGGTTAGTAACCGAGTTAACAAAATAACCCAGCAGTCCTTAGTGTGTGTAAACTCAGAGATCGAGCAGACAACTGATAAAGATGCTGCCGATAAAAGATGATAATGGACATGAAAGCAACGGCTGTGTTTCTCTGCCCTCCATCCAGCTGGATTCTTGCTCTAACCTCCTGTGTGGTGATATTTTTCAGATTCTGCATCACAGATACTCGCTCCGTGTCTTTTCTCATCTCTCTCTCTGTCATCCCAGCCTGGTTCAACATGCTCCTTTATTATTATTTCATCGCGCTTCATATTTCAGTGCGCCATTTATTTCCTTTGCTCTTGCGGCGGTGTAATGTTTAAAAACAACGTCACCAAGAGATTGTCGTGTGAAACCACCAGTGCAACTTTTTAACTGAGGTTCCTGTTTAGTGCGAAGGGTCGTTTTTTACTGTGCTGATAGTTTATTGATGATGCATCTGTGTTTCCATCAGACTCTCTGTGAGGTCAGAGGTCACGGTCACAACTTTATTTTTAGATGCCTTTTAACGACTGCAGCTTTGCAGGAAGCAAAATAAACAAGTCACGACAAACCTCAGACGAGGCTTGGGTTTTGATCATTCTGATATTATCTTTATTTAGCTTCATTTTGGTGCTTTATTTTGAAAGAGTTTGTAAAGCCAAATGTTCGTTTTTTTAAAGCTCATTTCTTAACTCATTGTATGAATTTGTGTAACATTTCTCTTACATTTATCTCACAAACTAAACATCTGAATTTATCACAAGCACATTATATTTATGAAGAACTGATTGTTTCGAGTTATCTTTACTCAGTAAAACTTCCATATTCATATAAGCCACAGTTTGTAAACTAGGGTGGCCATGGTATGTTCAATGACAAAAAAAATAATAATTTTGAGTTCCCTGATCTGCTGATCACTGATCAACCCAATCAAGCTGCAAACCAGTTGATTTATTTTACTGTTGCGTAATCAATATTGCCCTGAAAAGGAAATAAATCGTTTATTTTCAGTAGCAGTCAAAGCAGCAAACCTGCAAACAATCTGTAAAGCAATTTATTAAGAGTGCCATGTTTTTTTATTTTGTACAAACAGAATAAACGGTGGCTGTTAAAAGCTTTCGACGTGTTTTTGTTTTAGACGTTCATATTTCAGCACCAAGGACAGCGCACGAGTCAATAAAACAACTTTTAACCTGTTGTTTGTGATGCTTAATGTCAATTATTCCATATTTGAAACATTCTTTTTACATAATGTTAAACATTTAGACTTAATTAACATTTTTAAGTTTTTCTCTTTTTGCATCTGGTTGTTTTGAGGCATCGTTCGCTCTTTGAGGGACAGCTCTTCAGCTACACGTTGACTGAATGTTTTCTAGTTAAGAGTCTGAGATTCTGTTCATGTTTGTGGATATATATATATATATATATATATATATATATATATATATATAATGTCATAACAATCAACTCACAGCTGTTAATAATGATGTTTCTTTAAAAATATGTTACTGAGCCAAATATAACAACATAATATAGAAATAGTGTTGAGGTATTTTTGACACTAAATTAAAAGTTTCTTTTGTAGTATAAATATCTGTTTACACTGGTTATTTAATACGCCCAATATATTTAATACGTGTGTGATATTATAAGTTGTAAACATAAACACATTTACAAAAGATGATATTAATGTGAACTCAAATGGAGATTATTATAAAATATCAGTGTTTGTATGTTGCCCATTGAGCGCCAAACCTGGAAGAGTCATTTTACTTATTCTCATTGTAGCTGTGTCACAACTTTTGACATTTTGAAATACTAATTATAATTTTCTCTCATTTTGTTGATTGAAAATACAATAGTGAGCTGATATGATGTCTGAAGTGGACACTTGCTATGTTAGTTTGACAGCTGTTTGTGTTTTTCTGTTTTATTGAAACATAATTTATGTTTTGAAGGTTAAGAGGTGTAAATTAATCAGACCGTAGCGGGTTTCATAATCAGGCCTTTTCTGTGCAGCTGAATTCTCTTTAGTTAGTTCTAGTATCTCAGAGCTACTATTCTAGCCTATTTAATCTAGTCAGAATGGGTCTGGGTTTCAGCTTTTATATTTTCTCTTTCACCTGAGCAAAAATAGGATAAACACTTCAATGAACAGATTTCTTTACCATTGATAGCACAAATTTGTTTGTATCACATCAATGTGATATCGCTCCAGTTTTCTCCATTGGCTCCCTGTCAAATTCAGAATAGAATTCAAAATCTTACTTCTAACCTACAAAGCACTCAACAACCTAGCTCCATCTTATATTACAGATCTTATTGTTACATATTTTCCAAACAGAGCACTTCACTCTGACTGCAGGTTTACTTGTGGTTCCTAGAGTTTCCAAAAGCAGAAGGGGAGGAAGATCTTTCAGTTCTCAGGCTCCTCTCTTGTGGAACCAACTTCCAGTTTCTGTCTGTAGGACTGACACATTGTCCAGTTTTAAGACTGGGCTTAAGACTTTACTTTTTGATCAATCCTATAGTTAGGGTTGGCTTGTTATGCTGCTATAGGATTAGACTACTAGAGGACAAATTGACCAAATTTCCTTAAATTAATAGTTTTCATTTGATACTATTTCTATCTTAACATGTGATTCTTGACCTGCCATTGTGTATCCGTTCTTCTCAAACCCAGCCGGTCGAAGCAGATGGCCACTTGTCCTGAGTCTGGTTCTGCTAAAGGTTTCTTCCTCATGAGGGAGTTTTTCCTTTCCACTGTCACCTTCATGCTTGCTCAAGATGAGAGTTCTGTGATGGAGTTAAACTCAAAGCAGTCTGCTCCTCAGATAAATAATGTTAAATTATTATTTTTACGTATGAATGTTTCTGTTCAGTGCCCTGAGACGACTTCTGTTGTGGCATGGCGCTATAGAAATAAACTGAACTGAATTGAAATGGTATTTTTTTAACTTTTGTTTTCTCCAGACAAAGATAAGCCCCTGGAATCTGATGAAGACTCGATGGGCATTAATGCCGGAGGGCCCGGCGGGGTTGGAGGAACCCCAGGCTCGGGCCCACTGCGCCCCAACTCCCAGTCGGCATTTCTGGGCCCTCTGCTGTGGGAGCGGACCCTGCCGTGCGACGGAGGCCTGTTCCAGCTGCAGTACATGGACCTGGAGGAGTTCCTGACAGAGAACGGGATGGGGATGCAGAACGGACCCAGCTCCACCAGCGCTCAAATCCCCTCTCAGGTGAAACCAAAACCCGTGTTTTCCTCTACCACTGAGCACCACTCACGCCGACGAATGTGCAAAACCAGCGTGTGCTATTTGTTTAACGCAGCTTGACTCGTTGTTCTAACGATGCATTAAATCACAGGGGTGTAATGGGAACACATCTGTCTCATCTAAAGCACTGCGAGTTCAAATCCCAGGAGGCTTAATAAGGTTTCAGAGGCTAATGTCTCCATATTTCAGCTACATGCATTTCTCCGCACATCCAGGCCTAACAGCTGTTCACAGCCAACATCCTGTACGCTGTCACGTCTTCATTTTTATCTGTTGTATCTGCAGAGTGTCTCCCTTTAAGTCACAATGGACTGGGACACAACTGGAAAATACAATTTTTCATGCAAAATACAAGAAATGTAAGCAGCACGTTGAAGAAACAAAATCTTACAGACTGACAGGACTTTTAAAACTACTCAGGGCAATTAGTCTGAAAATATGAAACATGATTTATATTAAAAAAAGACAATTTAGGCTTAATTTGAATGATTATTTTTTTTTTAATATATGCATATTGGATGCTTGATAATCACCGAGTTAGCCGATGGATTTAAGTGCTTCTTTTCTTTAGAAATTCTGGAGATTTTCATGGTCTTTGGATGCTGTTGGATTCTTTAACCCACCTTTTAAATGATGTCATTTCATGCAATATTGAGATTTGATGTGTCAGCAAAATGTGATGGTGCTCAGAGAATCTTCAATGACTTTCAACGACTTCTACGTTACATTTTAGCTCAATATTTGTAAAATTGACTTCATATATAACCATTTTTGTGTTGACTAATGTTAGCTGTCTGTAGTGGGCATCTTAAGTTGGGTTGACCTCGATTATTAATACGTTTATTTTGAGTGTTTCACTGAATTTATCTAGCGGTTCATGCAATATTCTGCTAACAGGCAGACAATTACTGTATTTTCTGATGTACACGTTGCACCGTCTTATAAGTTGCATCAGTCCAATATGTCTAATAAAATGGAAAATCCATGAATACGTTGCTTCGCCGTATAAGTCGCATCTATTATGCGTCACCGCTGACAGCCCAGAAATGTGGGTCGGTGTTGTGCCAAAAAATCGATTGGCTGCCACGCAGGAGCGTGCACGGGAGGACTTTAACAAGAATTTAACAAGATTAACACTTATAAACAATTATTATTTTGCTCAAAATTATAGCAAAGGTGTGTCTCAGTCTAACTTTTCCTCAGTAAATGCACTTTGGTTGTCAAATCAGCTGCACTTCATAAGCCGATTCGCGGCCGCAGGAACTTCAGAGGGACGGCTCGCTCTGAATTTCTTTGAAGTTTAATAAGATAACACCTAAAACAATTATTTGTTAGCTTGACATTATAGCAAATGTGCGTCTCAGTTTAACTTTTACTTAATAAATGCACCTCGATGGTCAAATTAGCTGCATTTTGCCGGGGCGGCGCAGCGAAATGAAGCTGATTTGACGGTTGCTCCAGGCGGGCTGGACGAAGGTGGCTTAAGGCTCGCGCAGACTCGGGTGGACCTCCGTCCATGCGGAAACTATGCGCTCTGTCCACAGATGATTGAGACTTCATACTCGAGTGTCCACCCTGAGCGGCTGCAGTCAGCTCCGCAGGCAAGGGGTGTTTACCTTTGGGACAAATCGATGTTGCCGATTGGTCACGTTCTGACACGCCTACTGGATTGATTGACAGCTCGAAAAAAGAAAATGGCAGCCCCAACCACAGCAGTGCTCTGTGTTTATGTTGTTAATAAAAAGTTCTAAAAAATAAACAGGGAGCACTGGCCCTGCAGTCCACACATCAGACTAGCCCACCAGAAAATCTCCAGACCCTCCTGCAGCCACGCTGGACCTGATTTTAATTCGCTCGTGACAAATCCCTTCATTTCTCACAATTTCAATCATGGCATCAACAGACAAGGAGGAAGAGATCGCTTGCCTCTTAGCAAAAAACAAAACAAAAGATAAGACCAGGTCAGGGATGAAGAAGGGAAATTTAATACACTGGTGTCGCATACAAAACAGTCCGTCGACGGGCAGTTTATTGTGCGACACAGAGTACGCGTACGCGATCGTAAAAATTGATCTTTGCACAGACATGCCCTGTGGGTGTCCACTTTGAGTCTAATCTGGTATGCGCGGACCTCCGTGCATGACTATGTGGGAGCCTTTACTTTGGCAAGCCGATTGTATCATTAATAAACACTTTTACCTATTACACGATGCAACGGCATGCCATACTGCTCAAGTGCCATCTAGCGGCTGAAAATGGTAGTGTTCAATATTTTCAGTCAGAATGAATGAAAATCATATCTCAGCCAAAAACTGGTTTATAAATATGAGATAAAATCCATAAATACGTTGCTTCGGCGTGTAAGTCGCAGGGCATGCAAAATATGCAAAAAACGCGACTTATAGGCCAAAAAATACTGTAGTTAATACCAAATTTTTAAGCAATAACGTAAAGTGTAGTGCTCAAAATATGTTTAGAGGATGAGACTCAGCTACTACCACACCAGGTTTTAGATGAATATCTTGAACACTTGATGAGTTTTAGCCACTTTTCTGTTTGATATCGCCACTTGGCTGTTAATAATTGAACAAGGACTTTGAAAAAGAGAAGCTTGGTTTTGAATGTAGCTTGGAAACATTTGAAAATGTCAACCAAAGGACACTCGGCACTTGTGTTCAGTGTTGGTGAAGTAGACGACCCCACCAGGGCCCATTTGGAAGCAGTTTAATGGTGCTTTCAGTAGTTCAATGTACTTTATGAGGATTGTTTTCATAGTTGTTAAAACATTGAAAAATAATAATGCCAGATGTTTTCTTTCTGGTTTTGTCTTCCAGAGCTCCCAGTCTGCCATCCCCAACCAGAGCTCCCAGTGTCCTCCCACGTCTCCTCCACCCTGTTCCTCCTCTTCCTCCTCCATGTCGTCCTCCTCGTCGTCCTCCTCGCTTCTCGGACTGGAGACCGTCCAGCAGCAAGCGCCGCAACCTCAACAGCAGCAAAGCATGATGGGAGGACCAGAGTGTCTACACGGTGAGCGAATTCAAAAACGAGCACATGACCAGTTTGTTAGAATATTTGAATTAATCAGCTGGAGATTATTTTTCAGTTTGTAGTAACTCGTAGCTTGGTTCACCTCCCATCTCTGAGGTTTTTAGACCGTCTTGAACTGGGTTCACTTCAAATGTCAACTGGTTGTAGACGTTTCAAAGAAAACACGCTGAACGTTTCATCACGACCTATCATGCATGAGATATTTTGCTAACAGAGCATTGACTGCAACAGTTAGTGCTCTGAGTCTGCGATGAGGATGAACGTCAGCGACTACCACACCAATTTGAGCTCAGCATCTGTAACACTGACCAAGTTATAGCCATAATGTTTGTTGTGGCGGCCATCTTGAATGGGCTGGGTCCAAAAAGATATTCAGTCGTATATTTACTGGTGATTATCGTCATGATAAATTCTGTGGACAATTACAAGTGCAGACACGGACAAGAAGTATTATCGCTTTGCTACAACTCGTGCGAAAGATTTTTTTCTAATCTAGCGAATCATCGTCTTCATGTGGGAATGGAGCCATTTTTCTCCGGCTCATACTCTCAGATACACACGAAGCTGTACGTGCAGCGGCAGTGACGTGATCCGACACTAATGAGGACTCAGACCCACAATGCATTGCATTAACTAATGCAAATTCAACAATTTGATGTCTCTAACAATAACCGGAGAAGGATACACTCTAATTATATCTGCGTGCGATGAATGGCTGACACCGTGTTCCCGACCCTCCTCTGCTTTCTCCAGCAGCCTGTTTTCTATCCGCTACATATTCATAATTTATGGTTTCCTCTCTGTGCTGCTTTTGATGCTAACCAGAGCTCTGAAAGAGTCAGAAAATCTCCGTCTGTCGTTTGTTAATTTCTTTTGTATTTTTTAAAGCTCGCAAATGTTGATAACTTTAGTCACTGAAGCCACGAAGTCGTTCTTAATATTCCTAAGATCATCAACGTCTGTTCTGTTCCGTGAGACGTTCAGGGGTCATGCATATATCAATGTAAATTAAAGATGACAGAATTAATGAAGCGTGGAAAGTAAATCAATAGAGGAAGAAATTGAAAATAAAGGTTATCGTTTTGTGCCAGAGTTTTTTCAACACATTACTTTGAACATTTTTGGAGAAAAAAAACCTAAAACTTGAATTTTCTAGAGAACTTCCTTCACAACATGGATACAGAGTTTTTAGTGTGAATGTTCATTCACTCTTCTGTGATACATTTTTCTTCCGTACATTTTTCAACATCTTTTTTTGTTCCACAATTTTTGTGCTATTTCAACAAATCGTATATCAAAACATTCAGCTCATTCAGGAGAAGGGTGCTGTGACTTTTGGTATTGGTGCAACTTTAGCTTTTTGAGATATTTAGCTTTTTCTGCCATTTGTTTTTTCATAGAAAATGAACAGAGCTCATTTTACATCCTTCAAATCTTTAGATGTGTTACAACCTTTTACTGCTCTTTTCACATTTTGTGCTGGTTCAGCTTCTTTCAGCTTCCCTGTGCAAATTTAAACTTTTTTCAGCTACTTTCAGCTGTTTTACGCTCCTTTTAGATTCTTTCTGCCAACTATAGCAGTTTTGTGCTTCTTCTAACTTCTTTCAGCTAATTTCACCTTATAATGCTCCTTTCAGCTCATTTATGTAATTTTCAGCTTTTTCTGTTATTTCAGCTACTATTGAGCTGTTTTATTCAAATTTTAACTTTTTCAGCTAATTCTACATTTTTTGCACTCCTTTAGACTTTACTCAGCTTAATTCAGCAAAAATGTTCTCTCTCCACATCCTTCTGGTAATTTAAGCTTCTTTTAGAAAATTTTAGCTACTTTTCAGCTTTTTTTTTTTTTTTTGCTAATTTAAGCTGTTTTCAGATAGTATCCACTTTTAGTGCTCATTTCTTCTTTCAGCAAACATGTTTTTTTCTGCTTTCCTGTGCTAATTTAGTAAATTTAGGCTTGTTCTACCTTCTCAGCTACTTTTTGAGCATTTTAACATTTTCAGCTAATTTTAGCTGTTTAAAGATAAATTCTAGTTATTTTTGATATTTTATGCTACTTTCAACCTAATTAACTTCTTCTTGCTAATTTCAGCTTTCAGCTTTTTTCTGCTAGTTTCAGATTTTTCTGCTATTTCAGCTTTTTTTTTTTAGCTGTTTTGTGTTAAATTTAGCTTTCAGCTATTTTTTTAGCTGTTTTGTGCTAAATTTAGCTTTTTCAACTATCAGGTACCTGGATATTACTGGATAATATCCATTTTCTTTAGCTCATTTCAGCTCCTTTCATTTCCTCCTGGTAGTTTAAGCTTCTTCCTGCCTTTTCAGCTATATTTTTTGCTAATTTCAGCTTTTTAAAATCCAATTTCTTTATTTTTGTGATCATTTTAATTCTAATTTAGCAAATATGTGTTCTTTCTGCTTTATTCTGGTAACTTAGGCTTGTTCTTCAATTTCAGCTACATTTCAGCATGTTTTAGCTACTTTCAGCTGTTTTTCAGCAAGTTCTTCAGCAATTCACACTGCATTTTCTCAGGAAATGTAATTTCTCTACTTGTCCTTTATGGTTTCAATGAAGGGGTGTGAAGAGTGATTACATGTTCAAGTATCACATTTTTGGGCCATTTAATTAGATTTAAAACAAAACTTTACTTCTGAGCTCGTCCAGCTACAACAAAGCCAGAAAAGTTGCACATTTTTCAAATTTAGCTTGCTTGAAGCTGAAGTTGCATAAAACAGAGAAAAACATTACAAAAATGCAAGGTTTTAGCTAAAAAAAATAAAAGATTTACATTAAAAAAGATGGAAAAGTAAGTGGTGCCCAGCAGGATCAGATTGTGTTTGTCTTTTTACTACGAGTCTTAAACAATGAGAGATATTTGTGAAAATGATCTGCAGAGTCGTGTGAGATGAAAGATCAAATAGAGGGAAAGCAGTGCAGGTTCAGTCTGGACACATAAGCTCTAAAAAGACGAGTGCTGCAGCTTCATTTCTGCCTCTAGTTCTTCTACAAAAGCCTTTGAATACACTCCGCCAGCGTGTGTTCGTGCAGAGGCATACCTTTATGGATGCATGTGAGCTCTGCGCAGAACTTTGAGACGGTCTTTGTTTGTCTTTGTTTTGGCATTTGCATGCAACGATGTCGGATTTAATGGGACCGTGCTTTCATCTTTCTGTGTATAAGTGTGTGCGTGCGCTCTTTAGTCTGAATTATAAACACGTGACTGGGCTGAGCGTGATGCATCCAGCCAGAAATCCCTCAGGTCGCTGTGCAGCTGAAGTGTTACTACAGAGCTGCAAAGAGAGAAAGAGAGAGGGAGTCAACCAGAGGAAAAGATGGAAACTAGGCTGGAAATAATAATCTCATCCACATGCACATGCTTTGGTTTTAATTCATGCTGTGCAAAATGGAGAACAGCTCAGAAGGGAGGGGAAGCAAAAAGGCTCGGCTGCAGCAGATGATTTGCTAATATTTCCATCTGCTTGCTTCTTCAAAATACTAAATCATAATTTGACACTGAAAAAGACTGATATTAAAGAAATGTAAATCCTGAATTAGACCAGTTGAACGAATGGGTTTGAATTAACGGTAAGAAGCGATCCAGAACATTAGGAGCCTCATAACCATTAACCATTTTTTAAATAAGAATTTAAATTCATTTGATTTTTTTTTTTTTTTTTTTTTAGACTATTGTTTGTTTTCTTGTTCGTTTTTGTTCATTTTCATAGGCAAAAACCTAAAATTAGTTATTTTAAAAAAAAAAGGGGGTGGAACTTCAAACACCCGTTTGGTCCATGGACGGCCCGAATGGGTCATCAGAGTTCTGAAAAACAGCTGGCGGTCGCTTAAACAGATTCATAGAAGGTTTGAAGGGACACTGATAAAGTTGATAAACTTGTATGTCGATGATCCCACTTTATAGTCTTTTAAAAATGTCCAATTGCTCCCCATTGATTATTAAATCAACTGAAATTATTTTCTTTGAAAACACCTTTTTTTCTGTTAAACCTAAACAATTTAAAAGTATTAGCATTAAGTCTAAAGAAGGTCTATATCTGCATCAACCTCTTAAGCCTATGGGTCAAAATTACACCACATTTAATTGCAGTTGAGGGCCACACAAAATCACGGCAAGGGCCGCAAATGGCCCTCGGACCACACTTTGGACGCCCCTGATGCAGAGTTAGCAGTTAACCTGGCATGCATGTTTTTGGAGTGTGGGAGGAGCTGAACATGGGAACGTCACACAGAAAATCTCCAGCTGGGAGTCGAACCGGTGACCTTTCTGCGAGGTGACCGCAATAACCACTGCACACCATGCCATCTATAAGAGCTGAATGGCTGCTAAACAATGCTGCAGAAGCTGAACCTGAGTTGTTGAAGCTAAATAAACCTACTGGAGGTGTTTTAACAACTGTCTTTTAATTATTTATTTTAATATTGATATTTTGGAGTGCTGAATCGTCATTTTCACAATAAACAACAGTTTAGGTCGTGTTTGTAACATTTCACCTGGTAAAATAAAGCTCCAATGAAAAAATCAAAACTGAACTTCATGCTAATAAACAGGGAGTCTGAGAGGAGAAGGAGGTCAGGAAACACAGAGATAGTTAATAAAACAAACATAAATATTGCTTTAATTAATAAATGCGCATTTTGCACGATAATTTTTTACAAACAAAAACCAGAAAATGAACATTGTCTCGGTTCGAAGTGACAGACGTAAGATTTTCTTGCGACTTATTTAAACTGACGCTAAACTATGAAAACTGTTTGTTTCTGTGTTTAAATCTTGTCTGCTTCAGCTAATGTTCCAATCAGCTCAATTTTAGATATTTTGTTTCTTTTGCTCAATAAAACAATCGATTAGTGCTGATTAGAGTTTGTTGTTGCTGGCTGCTGCTTCATTCATCCAATCAAATCAAAAGCGGACTTTAATCCCGAGACTTTCTTGAGCTATAGTTGCACGATACGTGAACTCATC